AGATTCAATTTTGGTTTGTATAAAAATGAAGAAATTTTGAATGTCAGACCTATAAATTAAAATTTAAACGTAATAATAAATTAATTTTAGTTTGCAACAGGTCTAGAAAACTCAAAAAAATAAATTTTAAATTTGTGATTTACACCCATACTTTGGAAAACGGTTTTGCGTTGAACTACTCTCTAATCTTAACACACATACTTTTGAGAGCAGTTTCGAGTGGAACCGCTTTCTAATCTTAACATTTGACAGCGATTTAAACAACCACTCTCTTAAATGCAACACATTAGATAGCGCAAGATTTTAGAGCAGTTCTAAACGCTCTCTAATTTAAAATGGAACCGCTCTCACAACTCCTTTTTGGCGTAGTGTAATATATTTTGAGTAATGACTTGTGTATATTAAACTCTTGTTTTTAGTTAATATCAAATGTACATATTTTCTTAATGCTAAAGTATAACTTCATTTTATTATATACATATATAACTAGATAAAAAAAATGTTTACTCATATCATACACTTAATGTTTTTCTCCATGTCAAAGTAAATTTTTATTTTTTTGAAATTTTTGCATCATGATAAAATTGAAAATTTTTCTTTATCTTAACATAAATTATTATATTTTAAAGAAAAAGAAAATAAGGACGTTACAGTATCTAAATTCAATCATTAGGAAGTCATTAAATCAATCTCTAAAATAGATCATTGATACAATTTATTACTTTCTTAATCAATTGCTAATAATTAATGACTATGTATGTAGCAAGTCAAAAAATTCAATCACAAAATCAATCTCTAACCTATTTGGCAGCCTAACGCTTCATTTGAGCAAAAACAAATTGGTTGTTTATGACTAATTTTCTTGCAATGATACAATTCTAGATTACAAAATAACAATTAAAATTATAATAAATTATATCCACATTTGTTATAAATTATAAATTTGTTAAAAAAGTTATTGTTAATTTGTCAATTAGTAAACATATAATTTAGTATGTGTTAAATCAAAATTCTAAAGAGACTAAAAGTCTGAATTTTAATGAATGAAGAACTTTATATCTTAAATGAAATATTTAATATTACTACTTTGTTTGTTTGACTATTTCAGTAGTGTTTGTAAGATGATATGTTCAAACAGTCAATAATACTAAACATTTCATCTAAGATAAAAAAAAAAGGATACATCATTTATGTTAGACAACTCAGAAAAATGATATCAATATCGCGGTAGACTCATAAGACGGTCCAAATGCAAAGACTAATTCAAAAACAAGTTTATTCTAAAACAAATATGCAAGTGCAAAAACTTGAAGATTTTAAAATTAGAGTTGCACTAACACTGGAAAAAATTGACCATGAACACAAAAATTTCATCAAGAAAAACAATTTAATATCTATTTATGAAAAATAAAAATACATTTTTCTTTTCATCCGTACGCCTTAAAAAATTATATAGGATAAGAAGCATTCTAGACTTAAAAAAATCTTTAAACCCTTTGAAAAACCTTTTAGCAATGAAGTTTATTAAGGGATACAAACATATGATAATGTTGAATGTAAAATTTGGATAAGTTTACTATAAACTGAAGATATTTTCGTGCAGAAAGCAAGTATGCATGAACATACTACAACAAAAAATTATTCAACTTTTTTTTTTTTATGTGCATAAGTCTTTTCTTTCTATTATAGAAAGGGCATTAATCTAAAGAGATTGAACGATAATATATGAGAAGTGTTTGTTTTTCAAAAGAAGCTGTGTAATACTTGAAATTTATTTCAACTTGAATTATATGGTAAAATACATGTCTAAAAAGTTTTTAAATAGTAAAAATTTTGATTGAGATAAGAATTGACATAACTCACTAATTTAAAGGATAAACTAGTATAAATATTGTGTGTTTATTTTTCTAACTAGATATGAAAAAAGTTACTTTTGAAACATTTGCAAGATCTTTTACAAACATATTCAATCCCCTTCTCTTATTTCAACCTATTTATTATGTTATATAAATATCACTCAATAGTCAAATATATATTAAAAAATATTGTTAACCTTCATCTATTTAAATTAACAGGCGTGTCATGCTTAAATTTCTTGTTTCACGTAACTTTTCGTTTTATCAAGCCTATGTACTTTTGCCCCTTTCGATTTTTATTATTTACTTCGATGTGTCTAGTTAATTTTAGAGAAACAAGAATTCTAACTTATATATAGAGAAAACAATTAAAGAAAAGGTGAAAAAGCGAAGGTTCATCACGGTACTCATTGAGTTCATTGTTTCCTACTCGATCCTTGTATTATTTTATACTTTTGTGAACCAAAGTCTAAGATCAAAACCTTTGTTTTTATGCCAACGACTTGGTTTTTGTTCAGTTATGGACTTCCTTCTTGTATTATATTTTTCATCTTGGTTATTTTTACAAAATATTATATAATAAAAGTTTCATATATACTAAAAATTGACATTGAATTAACTTTTATATAATCAAAATTAAACTATTAGTATGTATACTTATTTGCTAATAATATTAATACTTTGACTGCACTTTAGTATTTGAAATGGGGTCAAAATTAGGTCAGTTTTTATTATGGTACTTCCAATTTGAGGCAATATATTCTGTGTATTACAATATTTTTGCTGTGAAGCGATATATAATAATATATTCATTATATAAGTTTTGCTTTGAAGTGATATAAAGTAATCTATTTATCATAGCATTTACGTGTAAAATAATACCTTAAAAATAGTTTAAAGCCATGCAAAAATGTTATAATTTTTTTTTTACGTAGTTAAAAACAAGAGGCAAAACTGAAGTGTGGTATGGGGAGTCATGGCTCCCCCAAATATGGCTAACCACATTGTTGCAATTCGCATCTAGACGTGCAATTCAATTAAAGCAAAAGCAAAACTACAGATCCAATGAAATTAAAATGTGGCCAACCATATTCTTTGAGGTGCATGGAAAGTATAGGCCTAGGTCTATACTTGTCACTTTCCACCATTTTTGTTAGATAAATTTGTTATATATCTTTTTTGTCGAACATTTAGCTACTCTACTTGTGGTGGAAAAAGAAAATAAAAAAAAATGTGGAGAACATGTTTTCGGTTTAATACACAGAATAAGAATTGTGTATGATGACGTACATAGGCTTGCTAATTTTTACCATTAAGATTGATTTTAAATAAATTTTTTAATGAATTCTTATATAAAAACAAATTTCTCTCAAAAATTAAAATAAATTATACATATTTAATTTTCTTAGAAATATTTTCATTTACCTTATTTACAACTTCAGGAGATAACTTACTTTTAACTTATAAAAAAAAAAAACTTTAGCTCCACTTTAGATAAACAATTTATAAAAGTAAAAAAAATAAAAGGTAAAATAAATCAACTTATATTTTTATTTTTTTAAAAATTCTCTCATTTAACTTATCTAACACTTGAAGAGATGAATTATTTTTAACTTATAAAATATACATTTTTATTTATTTTTTATATTATTTTTCTTATAAAAATTTATTTATAAACCATATCCAAATTAGACCTTATTCACTATTTATATTAATTTCTTTTCTTACAAAAATTCAAGTAGAAATATATCTAAACTAGACCTAAATACTTATTTTAGTACTTAAAATTATAAATTCAATTAAATTAATCCTTAGTTTTATAAAATTCTTTCTTTAGCTTTTAATATTTTAAAAATTACTTATTTTAGTTATTTTTATTATATTTTTTATTATTGTTTTTAAAGAGAGAACAATAAATATATCATTTTGTAAAATCAGACGTTAAAGTAAAATTTTATAAAGTGAAAACTAAAATAAGACGCTTATAATGTCACAAACTAAAATGCTTATTCACTGTTTTATTATTTGTACCATCCATTAAATATATACATCAGTTGTGTGATCTAAAACAACTTGCATCATCAGAACCTTGGAGGCACATTACTATCGGTCACACCCAATCAAGCCTGGCTACACGTACTTTAGAACAGAAAGACGAAAGACAGAACTGCCTCGTACAATCAAATCCTACGCTCACCTCAAAGCTTAATTAAGATGAGAAATGATAGATGCATATACGAAAGTAGCTCACAGAATATGAAAAGATACAATTCTTGCCAGTTGCCAATATGTTTGTTTGATACATTTTTATTTTTTTGGGTATGAAAGAATAAAGATTATTATATTGGATACACTAAATACTTGAACCTTTATTTTCTATTCAATGTTCTTTTTGATCATTAATAAAAGAAAAAAAAAACACTTGTTAACTGTCGGGGAGTTTTCGTGCTTGTATAATGTTACTAAAACTTCTAGATAAAGAAATGTCAACACATTCTTAGTTATTAAATAAAATGATTAAAAATTATAAAATTATGAGTGAAAAGTGTTAAATTAAATAGAAAATCTATATAGTTTTTAATAAATTTTAAAAAATGACTGAGTATTTTGTTAAGTTAGATCTGTAAAACAAAATTTTGTCTTAGAATCTACACCTGACGTTTTTTTGGTAGACCCAACTTGTAACAGTTACGAGAGAGAGAGAGAAAGAGAGAGCATCTGCAGGAGGATATTTATTGGTAATAATAATGGCTTAAACGTTTACTATGTAGCCTTCATAGAGGAGGTTGACGGTTTGGCATTCCATAAATGTTCCCAGCTACAAACCAAGATTGAAACACTCAGATTTTAACATTATGTTGGCTACATTTCATAATATATACAATTCCTGCATTTTCCAGGAAAATCCAGACAAAAGGAAATTAGGTCAATGCCCCACAATGAAGTTTGTCTAGGCCAGTAGCCTGAACACTTGGCCTCAGCTGCCACAACTTTTTCTGATACCCAAACAGGCACTATTTCCGGGAAAATCCAAAGTGGGGTTCAATATTTGATTTTACTTTCTGCCATCTACCCTAAAGAAATTTCATGGCAGTGAAAACTGGACAGATGATAAAGTAAAGTGACATTATATTATATATTTTATACAACAAAGGATATGTATATATAAACGCTTAAAATTATTCTTACAAATTAGCAACCTCAAGATAAAGCTGTCAAAGAAAATTTGGGGCGAAAGTTACGAGTGGAAGTTCATTACATTATTGTTGATCCTCCTCGATTAATTACTGTCATGGGTACTATTAGCCATGCAAATTGCTCTCATATGCACTAACCGCTAGAGAAAAGCAATGACCCTGATGATGATGTTGAAGAGCCTCTATTTTGGTATGGACTTCGCCGGAAATAATCTGGCGGTGACAAACCAACCTTCACTGACGATGAAGATTGAATCCCAGACTCTGATGAGGACCCTGCCAAATTCATATTTAAAGAAGTTCACTGCTTTCTCTAGTACATGACATCATCTAATCTAATAAGATTATAATATTGCAATTTATTCAACTTCAGCTTAAAAATCTGTATGCATTTTATGCATCAAAATGCAGAATTAATACAATTAGAAGAAGATATTGACTGAAATCCCGTCATTCAACAAGAGAGTAATGAATCCCATGATCATCTATATTACTAATAGTTCCTTCCCTTGCTTAAAGTGAAGACTAAAAAAAATATCAGGAGAAATGAAGATATTGTGTTCTTATTTATCATGGGCAAAAACAACAAGAAAAATCATATTTGTAAATTTGTCTATATGTTTTCTTTTGACCAAAATGATAAAAAGAGAGAGAAAGAATAGTGTAAGATAACAGAAAAAATATTTTATTTAGTTCAAATTAACAATTTGGTTCTTTAGTTTTTTTAATTAATTAAATTATTCTAATTTTAAAATTAATTAAAATAGGACCATAATAATTTTATTTTACCTAAAATTATAATTTTTTTTACTCAATATATTCAAATTAAATCATCTTTCACTAAAATCACAAATAAAATATCAAATTACACCTACAATTAAAAAAAATCAAACTTTCTCTCTTCAAATCTTAATTTAATATCCTATAATTTTTAAAATTTTATCAAGTTCTATTAAGTTTCTTAATTACAAACTTTGAAAATCATTTTATTTCTCAATCCTATCATAAATCTTCAAATATTTTGATAAGAAAACGATAATTTAAAGTGAAAAATGACATAATCAAATTGCTTAATTTTCAAATTAAAAACTTCACTTATGAAAAATAATTGCAAAATAAAAATTGTACATTACTTAGTTAAAGTATAAAGCAAACAAAATGATAAAATCATTAAATAAATAATATTCCGCAAGTAATTAATTGAACCAAAAGAAAGAAATATAAAGAACTAACAAGTGGTTGTACTTGCAATATTGTCCAAAGGAGGCTGAGATTTCTGGATTTCTTGAGTTGGTTGCTGTATTTTTCTTCGACGACGATTATGATCTGCAAGTCTCTTCCTGCAGCTCCGTTTACCATTGTCAAATTCTGAAAGTAGATGGAATCTGCAAAATTTCAAATTAAACTCTCATATATTAAACTATTTAGTTTATTTTCTAAAAGCAAATACTGATAATGTATGATTCCAATTATTGCAACTTATAAAACGAAAATGTCATGTGCTGAGGTTTCAATTTAATGCTACCAATATATCATCAAAACAGAACTTAGTACGTAAACTGACGAAAGTGGATGAGAGATGTGAAATTTTAAAGACTCAATTGCCCTCGGGATTTCCGAATGTACTGATCTATAATCGTAGGAAAGCATCCACATGAGGTTGCCCTTACCCCCCATTAGAGGGAAGATATTTTGTTAAAAAATGTTATGAGCATAACTGGTTTTTAAGTAAGCGAATTGTGAGAAAAATTATTAATATTTAATATGCTAATACTGAAAAGATTTTACAGTAGAGATTTCGTTTGAACGGTATAATTTTTTTTATGAGACAAAATTATCAAAAAGAATATAGAATGAGTTTTTATGCCGAAAATAATTAATTCTGAAGTGACAAGAGATATTTAATAATATTCGAAAAAGCATCAAAATACTGAACTTTCTATAAAAAGTAGAGAATTTCTTTCTAATTTACCTAAATAATTTAAGAAAATCACTCACGCCCTAGACGAGGACGTTAAAACAGACTAAAAAACACAGGCAATTTAGTTATTCTGAAGTATGTATATTATAATTTTATGTATTTTATGAAAAATAAATAATTACTATATGGCAGTGTATCATCGAAGTGCCTAGTGATCAAGATTTTGAAAACCGCACTACCATAACAAGCAAGGCAGAATGCACGGAAAGAAAAATGAAGAGGGAAATTTCCATAACGGGACGGAAATGCCCTCGGGATCCCCCCGCGTACTGGAAGCCAATGATTGGCTCCAAACCACAAGACCCAGTGGCAAATTCGTCATTGTATAACATTTTCCAAACATGAAGAGCCATCACAACCTGCTGCACTGCTGGCAGAATCGCTGAGTCAACCCGGCGGCGACGACGGTGGCGGCTTTGGAGTGAAACTCGCATACCTTGTGACGGCGGTGATAGTGCTTCGCATCAGAAAGGTCCGCATTGCATCCTTGTGCTTGACAGCGGGGTAAGTTCGACAGCATCGTTGGAACCGATTCTACCGTCTTGGCACGCCGGCAGAGCCGGTTGACGATGTCGTCATTGCAAGAGGCAAAGTAAGTACGGCCTCCCAGGTTAAGCCCAAGCCCAGAAGCCTGGAAGTCCACGGGCGGAGTGAAATCTTCGGACTTGGGCATGAGTAGAAGCCCAAGCCCAGAACCAGGCCCCAGCCCGCAGTGGGAGGCGGAGATGGGTGGGATTGGGTTAAGTGAGAGCATGGAAGGTGATGGTGAAAAGGAAGTGGCTGACGCGCCTGAGAAGGCGCGTGGGTCGAAGAAGGGGTGATGCTGATGCTGGTGCGGTTGTGGGGGGTTGAAGTGATGGTGATGGGAGAAAGGAGTGGCGGTTAGTGTAGAACCATGAAGAAAGGGGTTAGATAGAGAGGTGTAGTTGTGGTCGAAGATTTGCCGGTGAGTTTGGTCGGTGTCTGTGGCGGCGGCGCCTTCATTTCCGGCGAGTATTATCGTTGATGGGTTTCCCCATTCGTAGTCCAACATCTTTCTCTATATATGGCAATTGTTTGTTTTTGTTGTTAATTTTATGGTGTGTTGGTTTTTGGGGTGAAAAGAATTGTGTGTTTGGAAGGGTTTTTGAGGAACTGAACTATGAAGTATGGTAGTGTGGAATTCAGAAGGAAGTGGGATTCGGTTTCAGATACCCAAAAACCTAATTTGAGCCAAGTACTTAACCACACACACCTATAACTGGCTCTCTGCCTCTCTGCCTCTCTGCTCTTTTCTCCTCGTTCCACCACACTATAATGGCGTGTGTATTAAGTCTATCTCTCGCTAGCTATATTTTTTCCCTCACTTTCCCCCTCTAAAAGCTGAACCCTTTTGTCTTTTTATCTCTCCTTCTTCGAGTAAAGCTAATTAATTGGAAACTGTTTGGTGTGTATATATTTTGCGAGACATGTGAATTAAGGAGAAAAAAAGTATTCTTAAGTCACTTCACATGATAACTAATCTTATTTTAAGTCAATTAATCCAATTAAAATATTATATTATTTTTTTATAAACAACATTTTATTAGTCTAGTTAAGATGAAATTATTATTTATGTAATGACGTAATTTAGTTAAATCTAAAAAAAATTGACAAATGATTTGATGTAGCAATGAAAGAAATTAGAAGAGATAATATACATCAAATAAGTATTAAAATTGTTTGAATATTTATAAACAAACACTATAATTAATTATTCTCATTCCCATTATTCTCTCTCTAAAGAAAGGTGTAAGAAAAAAAATCTTTATTTATTTGTTGAAGTGTAAGTTCAAATTTGTATTAAATATTATATTTTTATATAAAATATTTATATTATTTGAATAATTCAAAATTAAAATGAGACCTATTAATAAAATTAATTAAAAAATTTAACAACTAATTTTAATTAATATATTATATGTTTTTTCCTAAACAGATAAATTGAAATAAGGACAATAGTAATAAGTTGCTACAAAGGAAGCTGACTTTTGAGGCGGCTTGCGCACATGCACGGCGTAATTGGTGTGAGAAATTGCATATTGTGTTTTTATACTTTTTTTTTTTTAATTTCATTTGATAGTAGTAGAATTGTAACTATAGTTTTTACCATTTGAATATTCGATCTGAAGCTTAAAAGAGTTTAAGGGAGATTTGTTATAAGCTTGCATAATCAAACACTTTCTAAAAGAGGTCATGTACTAATTGCGACAATAAAACAAATAATGTGGCTGCCTTGCCTGTTGCTTCAACAGCTATTTCAATAGGTCCAACTACTCTGCTTCAGAGCCAGAAAGAGAGAGCAAAACAGGCAAGTTCAGTAGTCAGCAGCAGCAGCAAGCAAGTAATGAAGTAAATATATAATTAATTTTTTTAACATGTGTGTCCAAGATATATGTTAAACAAATAAAAATGATAATATTTATGATAACAAATATCATAAAAAATATTTAATATATTTTTTAATAAAATATATTTAATAACTCTTAACATATCTCCTTAAATACACGTTAAAATAAAGTATGAAATATAATATTAATAAAAAAGAATAAGAAAATTGTGTAGTTACTCGACAATTGTGAAGAGCTAATTTGGACGAGAGAAAGGAGAGGCGTGAGATGAACCAAGAAAGGGTAAATCTTACGCGGGGTGACAATAAAGTTTAGGACCCACAGTCTATTTTGGGTTTGGTCTACATTGATAAGTTGCACAGGCCAGAAAATCAACATGATTATTTCATATAGGGCTATGTGGATTTTTTGCTTACTTCTTGGAATCATGCGTTACTCGCTTTCAAAAATGCACCCTTTCTTTCGTTTTTAAACATATGAAACTTCAAGTGGACTCTTCAGTGCAATTACAACAAGTTGCGTTTCATTGTTTCATTATTTCATAGTAAATGAATGGCTTTGTTTTTTACAATAAAGTTTCAAAGCCTGTGGTTATTCTTCTGGGCCAATTACTTTTTATTGACAGATAAAAAGGGGTGTTGGTAAAACTCATTTAAAGTAGTCAAAACTGGAAATTCGGGTTGATTTCCAAAAGAATCAATGTGTTCAATTTTATTAATGAAGTTTAGAAACATATTGTTGTTAAAAACAAGGCTTGTGTTGCTGAATGAATGATAATCATCATCTTGTTGGGATTGTTAGATTATCTTAAAGTGTTCTAAGTAATTTATAGTATGACTTGAATAAAAATTTAATGTAATAATTGTTAAATATAATATATAATTAGTGGAAGTATAATTGTAAATATAATTATAAATAAATTTTTCTCTCTCCCTCAGATAAAATAAGAGAATGATTACTAAAATAGGGATTAGTGTCTCTTTCTCATTTTTATAGTATTATGGTAATAAGGAGTAAGAGTTGAAAAAAATACTTAAGAGTTCAAGAACATTAAAGAGAAATCACATATAAGTATAATAGATATTTTTTAAATTTTTAATTGTGTGAAATCTTGTATATTGTGTAAGAATCATAAAGTTCAAGGTCAATAAAAAAATAATTTGATAATAATAAAATTAAAGATAGAAATCATATAACGGATTAAATCTAACAAGGACAAATTAAATCAATCTATAATCTTGATCTATATATAAGTTTATAGTGACATTATATAGATTAAATCGATTAAATATAATCTATTATGAATAATATTTTAACTTCAGTTATATTTGATTTAAAAGTTAAAAAATATTGAAAATTAGTTTTCTTACAAAACTTTTGAAACTTTCCTTCCGCGATGAGAGAGCGAAAATGTATTTCATACACAAACTCTCTTGCATCGTCTTGTTGTGGGTAAGAAATCCATTCCTTCCTTTTGGAACCCATTTCAACTAAAAACATATTTGTCCTTATAACTCATTTTTTATTGACAATCCGTTCCTCTTTTGATTCAACATTTCATAAATACATTTGAGCCTATGTTTTTCTTTGATTATTAACATGTTAACTTTATTATTTTTCGAAAAGCATGATCATGACATCAGTTCCAATAGCCAAAGGTGCAGAGAAATAGGTCAACAATATCCGTGAAAATATTTTTCAACATGGTCAAGAGGGTGTTGCTGATAAAAGCAAAAAAATGGAATTTTGATTTCAAGAGGATTCGCATGCATCAAAGAGGGTAAGCAAGGTGTTGATAAACTAGACCACTTGATTAAAAAGACTAGAGTAGAAATCAGAACATGATGTAAAACATTTATGATTATTTTCCTTTATTAGAAGATCATGAATACTAATTAAATTGTTGACTTTGTAGCTCAACATAATCACCCTCTTCATCCACCAAAATATGTTCATATGATATGCTCTCACAAACATATACCAACTAAAATCAAAAGATTTATAGGAATATATGTCCAAACAAACTCGTGAAATAATAGACACTCTTGGTTATAGAAGACAAAAATAAGAATCACCTTTAAACTAAAAGAAAAGTCCTTAAGGAATGATGAAGTGGGTGCACTGTTAATGTATTTCAAACAATAAAGTGACAGTCCTTCATTCTTTTATGACTTTCAAATGGAGGTGGAAGAGCAAATAACTAATATATTTTTGTAGATGCACAAAATGGATACTTTGGTGATGATATCGTCACTTTTGATGCCACATACAAGACAATAAAGAATATCAACCATTGAGAGCATTGAGAGTATTTGTTGGAATCAATAATCACAGGCAAACATTATAGGGGCAGGGGACATTGCTATATATAATTAAACAATTCATTATTTTCAGTGGTTAGTTTAAAATTTTCTTGGAGCAATGGGTAGAGAAAAGCACAAAATCATTCTAACAAATCAAGATGCAACAATGGCTAAAGTTACTTGTTTAGTTAGGTCACAAACATGATGTCGCTTATGCACATGACATATAAGAGAAAATGCCTTAAGGCTTGTGAACCATCTATATCAAAAGGGTTCATCTTTTAGCTTAGATTTTGAAAGCATGCATTGACTAACATGAAGACGAAGGAGCAATTTTGAACGCATAGAATGCTTTATTAAGCATAATGCCTTTGATGATTTATGACTAGATATTATTCTTTCTCAAGAAGAAATAGACAATTCTTTTGTTTAATATTTTTTACTGCAGGTATAAAATATACACAATTAAATAAGAATTTTATTCCAATAATTACATTTTTTTAATGCATGTAATGCACTTCTTAAGTACAATGTTTGAAAATCTTTCACATATAATCAATTTAGTGATAACATTGATACTAATTTGTGAAACTATTTGAAATTGGATTTAAATTTGGTACAATCTTTCACATACTTTCAAAGAAATTTAATTTTTAATTAAATTTAATAGCATTGTGTAAGTTATATAGTTAACTTCTTTTAGTAAGATAAAACTTGATTATTGTTATTTCACACACTTTGAAAGAATTAGCAATGAAAAATAAAAAATAGTCAAAAGTCAATTATGAGGCAAGACATAAGCTGCATATAGATTGAAAATGATTGAATAACGCACTGGAAACATTTACAATCCAAAAAAGTTGTAGGAGTTATAAGAGGATATTAAGAATATAAAGGTACTTTTGCCTAAAAGAATTTAAAGAAGGGTTCTATATTATTACAAATCAATGTAATAATAAGAAAAGAAAAAGTACTGGGGAATCTTACGGAACAAAAGGTTGCTTGTGAAAGTCATAATCATGGTTTAAAAGTTTTTAAAATAATGAATGTGAAGCTAATTCCTTCAAAAATATATTCTTTTCTGTTGGACAATAGATGAAAGGCTAAAAAGTAATCAAGATTGAAAAGATTATATTCAACTAGATATAAACACCCATTTCATGAAGTGATACAATGATTTAGTATTCAAATGATCACATTAATAAGCAAAGCATCTAAAGTTCGAATTATATAACAAGAGAATTTGTATTTGCAAGAGATTATGCGACAAAAAGATAAATGCAAGGATTTAGAGTTTTAATCGTGATTCAAATGTGCTAATAAAATTTAAGGAGTGTATATATTCCTTAGAATGAAGAGTTGGAACGAATGATTTTGAAAGAAGCACTTAAGATCTAAATTTCTACCTGGGAGCAACAAAGATGTATCAAAATTTACGAAAGAACTTTTGATAGTATGGGGTGAAGAAAGAGATAGCAGAGTACGTGACGAAATCTCTAACCTGTCGAAAATTAAAGACAGAGCATCAACATATGACAGGGGAATCACAACTGTTAGAAATTCTTGAATGAAAATGGGATAGTATTTCTATAGATTTTGTGTCCAATTTGTCTAGGCCAAGTAGAATCATGATGAAAAATGGGTG